CCCCAAAACCCCAAAACCCCAAAACCCCAAAACCCCTCCTTAATATTTAGGATTTGAATAAATATAAACCAGAGGCAATCAAGATGAACATTGCTAGGTAAATTATGTTTTTAATCTCCAGATCTCCTAGAACTTCCAAACCATCTTTTCAATCTTATAGAAGTCTTCGTCCTGATGACTTCCAGCAAGTAAAGAAGCAAAGCACTGGTTTGGTAGCTCCAAATCAGGGTGACTCAAGTATTAGCTATATTCTGGAGGAATCTATTGATGAAGAAAAGCAATGAGCTAGAAACCCCCAGCAACTCAAAATTCACAAGAAATATAATCGTAAGAATGCTTATAAGAACCAATCTAGTCCAAATGGTAGAGACTAGTAGTTTTGATAAACACTTTGTCTAATATTTCATGTATAGGCAAGAGAATTTCTATTATTGATAGTGATGTGCCTACTAATATGAGTATTTACGGAAATACTCAGGAGTCCGAAAATAAAACTGTGGTAAGTTGTTTGACTGATATCTTCACTTGGCTCTATCAAGCTGAGTAGTGTAAACCTAGCCTGCTCCCAGTCCTCTCTGCTTCGCAGAGAACTAACAGGTTTCTGGAAATTTTCTACAGGTTCAATTTACCCCTAAACTTTCGCAGAAAAATTAGCACTTCTTAGAATCGAAGATGAGAAACTTTTTATTTGTGAAATTAACATTAATTCTTGTTTAGGAGAAATCACCGTTCAATATAAAATGCTCAACGCTAAGCTCGGAGAAGGACAGCTCTCAAGATGGGTGAGACGGTGATAGTGTTACTCTTTTCAACGCTTTGATGGACTCCCAGTCGTGATTGTCAGGTACAAGATTGAGTATGATTACTCCTGAAGATATAAGTATTCTAAAGACACCCAAAGCGTCTCCTAAGGTAAGCCAGTAGTATTAATAATAGATCATAACTCCATTCATGGGAATGTTTAAATAAAACTCTGAAAAAATCTCAGAGACTGCAGAAGCAAAGGATTGATCAATGATCTCCCACCAAGAGCTACTTCACGCTGAGTAATTGAACTCCTAGGGGGTTTACAATCACTAATACTGCCCCAGATTTTCAGATAAAGCTATAATAATTTTAGCTAATAATTTGCAAGCTTTAGCAAAGACTTATGAATTATTCCTATTCCATTTTGATTTGGCTTGCTCAGTTTTTGGGAATGTAATAGATTCAGATCAAATTAACAATCTGGGATTCTACCAGTTCTGATCAATTGCTTGGTTATTTATGTTTACTGTAATTTTTTTTATTATTTCATCTCTGAAACCCTGATAGTTGTTTCGTTCGACTCTCTTAGAGCGTTGATGCTAGGATATAATAATCAACATTTCTCAACATTCGGAATAAGTGAGGGGTTTTGGGGTTTTGGGGTTTTGGGGTTTTGGGGTTTTGGGG